CAATCGTGGTACAAAGCTCAATAAAAATATTAAAAATAAAATGTTAATAAGCCACAATAACATTGGCAAATACATAGTTTAAGAAGAGCCTGCCAGAAACTATACAAACAAAAAAAAGCAAATAAGCAAATGGATGTATAGAATTGACAACAACAACCACGCTGTCGAGTTTAAATAGCGGCAAATCAGCTGCACTTGATAGTAGTTGGTTGAATAAGGAAAATGAATTAGAAACAAGAGTTTACGGGATGTGCATAGCTCAGTGGTTAACGCTTCTGACTTTGAACATCGATTACGCAGGTTCGATCCTTGCTGAAGTCTAGAAAAAAGAAGTCTGATGAGGAGATGTGGTGATCTCCGAAATAGCTGCTATAACTTCTACCGCTTAGACTTTGTTGCTTTTTCAATTTTTCCTAATAAACAATCGTGTTACAAAGCTCAATAAAAATATTAAAAATAACAAGTTAATAAGCCAGAATAACATTGACAAATACATAGTTTAGGAAGCGCCTGCCTGAAACCATTAAAAAAAAGCAAATAAGCAAATGGATGTATAGAATTGACAACAACAACCACGCTGTCGAGTTTAAATAGCGGCAAATCAGCTTCACTTGATAGTAGTTGGTTGAATAAGGAAAATGAATTACCAACAAGAGGTTACGGGATGTACATAGCTCAGTGGTTAACGCTTCTGACTGAACATCGATTACGCAGGTTCGATCCCTGCTGAAGTCTAGAAAAAAGAAGTCTGATGAGAAGATGTGGTGATCTCCGAAATAGCTGCTATAACTTCTACCGCTTAGACTTTGTGGCTTTATCAATTTTTCCTAATAAACAATCGTGGTACAAAGCTCAATAAAAATATTAAAAATAAAATGTTAATAAGCCACAATAACATTGAGAAATACATAGTTTAGGACGAGCCTGACTGAAACTATACAAAAAAAAAAGCAAATAAGCAAATGGATGTATAGAATTGACAACAACAACCACGCTGTCGAGTTTGAATCGCGGCAAATCAGCTGCACTTGATAGTAGTTGGTTGAATAAGGAAAATGAATTAGCAACAAGAGTTTACGGGATGTACATAACTCAGTGGTTAACGCTTCTGACTTTGAACCAGGGTACGAAAATAAACTATATTGTACGTTACTATTTCGTTTCGTTTATTACTTCAACAGTTCGGTACAATACGAAAACAAAACGGCTGAGTTCACTTTGCGATAGTACACTACAGTAGTTTAGTAGTTACAGACGAAACAACAAACGAAATGAATCGTGCAGAGAAAAATATATGTATATATGTAGTACATGTTTTTTAATTGAATTGGATATGAAAATTGACAGAAAAAAATATTTTTCAAGTAATTGAAACGTTTGCATACATATAAAACGTACCCTATGGTACAATTGTCACAAACGAAAAGCAAACGTTTCTCGTTGGGGAAAATTACAGTGAATCTTACAATTTTTTTCTGACTATGTACAAAACTGTACAAAACCACAAATGATATGATGATCGATGAGCAAATGGGAATTGGTTTGTACAGTTTATTTTCGTACCCTGCTTTGAACATCGATTACGCAGGTTCGATCCCTGCTGAAGTCTAGAAAAAAGAAGTCAGATGAGGAGATGTGGTGATCTCCGAAATAGCTGCTATAACTTCTACCGCTTAGAACTTGTTGCTTTTTCAATTTTTCCTAATAAACAATCGTGGTACAAAGCTCAATAAAAATATTAAAAATAAAATGTTAATAAGCCACAATAACATTGACAAATACGTAAAAAAAATAGTTTACGTTCTTAAGTATAATAGTAGGCGATGTGATAAATAAACAAGAATTTAAATTAAAAAATTAAAAATTGGTGCGACTTTCCTTCTTTGTAAGTTTTTTCATTCCAGAAGCGTCAATACATCCTTTGCAGGGTCCAATAATCGGCGTTTATGATTCTGAGTTCAGCAAACGTTCCAAAGGCTGTCTTCAATCGTTTTTTTTTTTTTGAAGATTCACATGCAAATATAATTACCATTTAATAATTTTTGTAAAAAAAATTAACAATGCTTGACAGTGTAGAGACCAATAATAAAAAAAACCCCATCAGGTGATTTACGTCTCCTACCTGTTTAGTATACCTTTGTGTGGAGTGATACAAGACACACAGTCGATTTTAGGAAAACGCTCCAGTTTTTCGCAAAGCAGTAAAAAATATTTTTTTAACATACGGAAAGCTTCGATTTTCTGACTGCTGCAATCCATCAGAAGTTTTCGTTCCTTTTCCGTTTATGGAGACGTCGAATTCGATTCACATTCATAGCAAAAATTATATTTGGTAAATTGGCCTGGAACACAACCAATTCTCTGAATATTTTTTTTTTCGTTGTTTGAATTCCAAATATTCAATCGTTCTTTTCTTTGCCACGATTTTACAAAGCCAAATAAGACTAAATTTAACTCACTTTTCATTATATTAAACTTATAAAAATGTCAAATTAAAACCGCTGATTTTGTTTTTTTTTTGAAGATCGTATAAACACTAGTGCGAAATGTGTACGGTGTCAATGTGCTTTCAGTTAATTCCATTAATCTGTGTGTATAAACGAAGGAATAGATTTCTGTTGTTCAGCCAGACGACACGTCATGAGGCGTCAGCTCAAACGAATTCCCACAGTTAATGGGAACCGCTGTGCTCGCAAATTCGCTGAGTTAAAGCCTTGACAAACGGACAAGAATATAAGATTAGCAGGCTTTCTTTGCATTAACTCATGCATTAACTCCTTCCAAATTGCAAATAGGCTTGCTATAAATGCACTGAATATGTTTGCATCTTTATATAGCGAAGTAGTTGACCATAATTTGCATTTACAAATAACAATTTCTTAAATAATTAAAAACGCTATCATTTTCAATTCCGCGAAAAATATAAAAAATGCTTTAAAAATTAACTGTGATTGCATTTATGCGAATATTAAATTGGCAATAAAATGTGAGGCCGAAGTTGACTGTTAAGAAGCAAGTGTATTTATGTGTAAAAGCAGTTGTAATTTCAATTATTACACCATTCCTAAATTTTAAACTATTAAAAACTTACAAATTGCAATTTGTTCTTTGTCGTTACAGTAAAAACCACTACAACGGCTACAGCAGTGCAAAGAATACTGAAGTTGTTGATGCAACTGCAGCATAAATTGTTGCGAAAACTAGTCTACCTGAGCGCGTCGAACATATACTAAACTGTATTAAAGGTGTGGTTCATCTACTTACTGGAATCCGCCGTTGTCTTTATAGCCACTGTAAAAAAGTGCATTTTAAAATAAAGGGGTTATCCCTAGTCAAGAAGTGCTGCGGATCGTGCTACACGAAAATTATTTTCATTTATCCTTACAGATATAAATTGTAAAACTGGGTAAATTGTGGTTTCTGGTTAAAGGTAAGATTTAGTATATTAAAATATGTCATCCATAACGGCGTAAATGCGTACAAAAATAAATTTTCAAAGTCGTGATTTTATAAACTAATCATTCTTAAGGCCAGTATGAGCTCTCAAGAAAAGCAAAAACTCCATATAAAATGACGTACAAGAAATAGCAAAGAAATTTTTTTGAGCCAAATTTCCTTAAGCCAGTGCGCAGTTCTTAAGAAATTTGCTACGCTTTTTACTACGGTTTTCTAAAGTTGTTTGTAAAAAAAGAGCACAAGGCAATCCAGGTTTGCAACAGAAATATATGCTCGTTCTATTATTTCTTGAGGAAAGAATGAAGAAACAGGCTAAGATGTCAAAACTCCTTGGACACACACACGAAATAATGGTAATTTTTTCTTGACCGTATTCTTTAGAGCTGCATACTGGCCTTTAACAGCATTAAGCTGTTCTCACAAATCTCCCACCTCATTAAGCAAGCACCATATTTTACGGTTTCTCTTTCTTCAAGAAGTGTTTCGCCTGTGCAAAAACAGATCAACTATAGTGTTATTATCAGGGAACGGATTTTATGAAATTGCTTTTTTTTCTGCTAAAGAGATAGAGTATATTCGATTAAGAATGTCCACGATTTAGCTTTCCCTGATTCCATATATACACATTTGATTTTGCCTTTTTTAAGATAATTGCCTTTTTTTGCCTTTTCTACCTTTAAAAAAGGGATTATAGCATTTATAATTTTTTTTTTAAGATTCAAGAATATACACATGCCCATGCGGCTCATAGAAGCGCAGGGACCTCTTGCCAAATTGGTGTTGGAAAAATTCAAAGCCGTTTCCTCAGCTAACGTAGGCTTGGAGACAATAAGGGGTGTGGATAAAATTGTAAAGGGCGAGGAAAACGCCCTTATTCCTGATAATATGAACGTTTCAAACGTTCCATATTTAAATTGGGCTCCACTTGTATCAACTTACGTCGAGTGCACATTTAGTACATTCAAGGCTTTTCTTCGCGAAAATCGAATGAAAATGCTGCCAGAAAATTTCAAAATGCATCTTGTGGTTCAATGTTACTACAACTATACAGATTAAAGTTTTATGAATTCGAAACTCGAAAGGATAAAATAGTCAAAGATTCAAAGTACAAATTTTTCATATAATGAAACTAGTTCATAGTTTTTCTCTTTTTACTTGTAATATAAGCATTTCTAAAATAAATATATTTTTTGATTGTTCTTAGTATTTTCTGTCTTTTTTTAGTGCCTTATTTTGCTTTTTTTGCAATACCTTTTTTTTGCCTTTTCCTGCCTTTTTCGCTATTTTGTTTTGCCTTTTTTTGCCTTTTTTGCAACACCTAGTGCCTTTTCCTGCCTTTTTCGCTATTTTATTTTGCGTTTTCCAGCCTATTATTTTATTTTGCCTATTTTATAGGTTTTTAGGACCTAAAAATCCGTTCCCTGGTTATTATACTAGGTTTACGTATAAGTAGATTATCCGAATTTTTCCTGATCTATAATTAGAAAAAGAGATAAGCCATATAAAACTTGTCCCTCGTTAATCTGTAATTATAAAATAATCACGGATTAAACCGATAACTTTTCGGTGTCCAACCTAGTTTTATCGATTACTTTCGCGAAAAAGAGGAGAAATGTGATCTGTAAAAGTAAATAAAAATCGACGTTAGCAAGGAAAAGAGGTTTGTAAATGTAGTTTAAATAAAATATTAATTTAAAATATATTTAAATTGCGGTGGCAAAGAGAAGAAACTTAATTTTTTCTTGAGATGTGAGAATAACAAGCACAAAAAAGTTTAAGGCTAATAATCTGAGATATGCCTGTGTAAACAAGGTGATTAAAAAATGGGCTTAGATTGAGATTATACTTTTACTTTTAACCTTTAATTTGGCTATCTCTTTTTGTTTAATTAAGGCAAGAGTAAAATCACATGGTGATAATAATTATGCATAAATGACTTATTTTATATTTGTATTTATTTGATACACGACAACGCTCTTTTAAAAAGCCTCCATGTTGTTGAACCCTTAAGTACGTTTAGGTGCAGTATGTTTATTTTATTTATTATGTTTCATAAAGCTCAAAGATCTTACTGACTATTTAAAGCTAGAAATTACAATCACAGTAGATTATGAGAACATTAACATAAACAAGTTAACAAATATCAAAATAGCAAAGTGTAATACTATATCGAAAGACAGAATATAACAAAGAAAGAAAAGAATTTTTGGATAATGAGAAATCAAAGCCGTTAGAATTCGAGATCTCGATAAATTCGTAGAGAGCTTGTCGCCTACGCATTCCTTGCGTAGTTAGTCCTGACTTTATCTGGGTAGAAGTGATTGAAATTGCATAGAGTTCTCAGGGGTACAAGATTATTGATGTTTTGCAACAAAGACGGACAGTCAACAGTCCCTTTAACTATATTAAAAACTAAGGAAAGCGAAATAATTGTTCTTCTCGTTTCTAGAGTTTGGAGATTAATCCTAGAAGCAAAATCTACTTGAAAGTTACGTAAAGCCCAAACATGCGTCTTAGAGGCGTAGGTGACTTAAAAGACAACCTGTGGGCTAAAATATTCTTATTTCTGGCCATTTTTTTTTTAAGAATAACTACAACCATATTTATTTATAACAATAAAGTATAAAGGTACTTTTGTATTCAAATTAAAAAAATTCCGATTCCGTATACGCCTCGCTGACCTAGATTGGGATTTTAGGGTTAATACTGCAGGATTTAATCAGAAATAGCCTTAGGTCGTTTCGTGCACATAAGTCTGGAATATCAACAATCTAGCTATGCAAAAACCAAAAATATGGCTCGTGAGAACTTTTTGTGCTGATTTCATCCCTGCCAAATTTATCTGGCGAATGTAAAAAATAAAGAAGATATCAAGGGTTAAAGTTAAAGTTTTTGATTTTTTGTTATCAATATCTTCTGAACAACATAACCTATTAAAAAACTGATGGCGTCAAAATAAAGGTGATTAAGGGGTCTT